TGTCCAATATACATTCTTAGGTTTCTAGAATAGTTACCCATCGGGAATTTCAATCTCCCTATATATGTTCAAATACAATTTCGTTATATTCATCCCGAAGTTAGTCCGAATATTCTTTAAATCATTCTAAATGTTATAATTTTGTGACAAAATTTGTTATTGTTTACTGTAATTTATATAATTAACAGTTATTATTTTTATATTGTGTCGCTTTAATGTAGGGTAATGTTAAGAGTGAATATGTAGTTTTTGGAAGTTCACTACTATACCCAATAAACTAGGAAAGTGAGATTATAAAGCGTCATGTTTCTAAGTTTTGGTTACTTTAATCTTATTCTCTTCAAAATCTCCCCTATCTGTACTAGCTAATTTCCCTTTGAATTCCACAGAAACCGGTTTTCTAAGATGCCTCGCCGTTATATAATTCGTTAGAATCGCGTAAACTGATGACTTCTTAAATCCAGTTCATCAACAATCATCAAAACCATTTACTGAAAATTATAATCGACCACCCATGTTGAATACCGTCACCACTAGAGAAAACCAACATATCCTCTAGTATCGCCCATCGAGTTTTTACGGTTATCTATAGAACCCTTAGTCCATTTGAAAATACCTTGTCATAAAAATATGCTATCTCTCTAAACAGCACTTAATGTTTGATTAATTTCCTGAAAGTTTTACCCAAGTATTTGTAACACTGAAAAAACCCAATTAAATACATACTTTTTGAATCAACAGTGTTGTTTCATTACACTATAGAGAATTTACAAATTAAATTGATCCTTAAAAAAAATAACATTTGCTTACTTATAAAGTTAGTTGTTTAAACAACTAAATAGATACTTACAATTAAGCGAACGTACACATACACTCAGATTTTTCTAATGACATACATATATTTGATGATAAGTATTCTCCAGAACATTTTCCCCTCCTTTCAACTTGTCATCAAAATAATTACATTTATAGTATGAAATTTATATTTTAATACAAATTCGGAAAAAAATGGAGAAAAAGAAAATCGAAAGATAACAACATCTTATCTGTCTATACACAATACACTATAAAGTAATCAGAAAAAATAAACCACTTTTCACTTCCATACTTAGTTAATACATACTTGTGTTGAAATACTTTAATTTATGACTAGTTACTGAATAATAATAATAATAATAATAATAATAATAATAATAATAATAATAATAATAATAATAGTAAAATTGATAGTAATGAAGTAGAAAATCTGTAAAATTATTTGTAAACAAACTACACGCAACTAGCAAATGTGATGACAAATCAATTGAAAATAATTTATTTCATTTATGACATCTCTCTCCCTCTCTCTCGGTCTTTATCATATCATATATCATTCAATATTTCATTTTATTTGGCATTCTTTATGTGCGTGTTTTATTACCTATTTTGACATGATGATGATGATATGAAACTATGGAGTAAAGTAAGTTTTATTTAAAGAAAACGTTCTATTTTAAGAAAGAAACATACATATATTTTCTTTTAGTTAGAAAACAAATCAAATGAACTTGTCAACTTGAGTATACACGCATAAAATTAGTACACATAGATGAATGTACAGTAACAACAAAATTATCTAGATAGTCTTTTGAAAACCAGAAGAAAAGGTGGGAATATGAATTGTTTTTTTTTACATTGAAGTAAATAATCATTACTCTAGTTAGAAATTATTCAGTTACATATACATTACTGGGTCTTCTTTTATTTAAGAGATGAATCTCACTTTGATAATCAGTTGTTTGTTTCCTATTTTGTTCTACAAGTTTCTTTGATTATTTAAACCAAATGAGTACACATATATTATTGTAGAACTGATGACCGATAATGATGAGAAGCATTCGCGTAGACAGATAGCAGTAGTTAAATTTTCTGCTTTTACTCTGTTGTCTTCAATTTAATCTCTAAACAATTATCTGATTATAAATACATACATATACATTCGCGTGTAGATTAAATTACTAACCAACAGTCAATTTTGCGCTAAATGTTATACTCCAGTTGAATATTTGATGTATTTATCCCCTATTCTCTTTTTTCTTTGATTTGATTGGGAAAATTTTTGATGATAATTAAATTTTTTCACGTTTAAATCTTTCCTCCTTTTAGTTTTTAATGTACACAAGCTTTACACAGTAATAATAAATTTTATAATGATGAAGACAGCTCGACAGTCACGCATACTAGGCATATGTCATTTGTCAAAAAAAATGAAAGAAGCAAATATGTTTACTTTGGTTGCTGATTTTCACTTTCTATCTGTTATTGTGATGTGATGATTAGAAAAGAGAACATTATCAAGAAACAATGATGAGCAAAATAAACAGATCAGCAGACGACTAAATAGTTAGTCAGTTCGTTTTTAGCCCAAATAAAAACTACCGAGAACCATGTAGTAGAAGGTAAGTATCTAGTCATACTTTGAGACTTCTTACTGATGCACACTTATGACCCCAAATGAGATGGAACTAAGGGCGTTTAATCTTTCCGACCAGGAAAACATACTTAACCAGACAGGTCACAAGTCAATGATTCACAATTTAATTTTTCTTCAATTTGAAACACGGTGCGATCATCATTTAATGTCATTAGTGAGTGGGTATCTCGATTTCGACTTCGTTGAACTTCATCATCAAAACTTTGAGAATCTAGCCTAAAGCCAAATCACTCAATCAATATTTGAATAAAAGAAATTTGTCCATATTCACTGTATTTCTTCACTTAACAAATGAGCATAAGCAAAGTATAGAATGATACTTTTAGTTTGTAACCTTAATTGAATATAAACATGACACACAAAGTATGATGTTAAAAAATATGCGTTTAACAATTAAAACAAATATATTGTGCGATGAAAGGAAGTTTCAGAGTATCTTCTTAATTTACAGCACTCACTAACAGGGAATAATTTTAATGAAACCCTAATCGCCTGTTTAGTATTCCTCTGTCAGATAATTTTATGAATACGAGTTTTTCTGCTTACTACTTCTACAAATCACTTGGCTACTTAAATCTTAGCAAGTAGTTAATACATACAAGACTAATAACTGAATATCACGACTTCGTTAGGCACAAAATTAAGTAGTTAGATGAATGAACAATCTTCCTCACTAAATTCAGAATACCTTTCAACCAATTCAATGTAGTGATGTAAATCGTCCTTCCAATACAGGTGCTTCTTTCAAGTGTAGATAGACGTACGTGTTGTTGTGGTAATACTGAAATATTATCACTGAATTACGAGAGATAATTAGACTGTCCTGTGAACAACAATCGTGACCTACTACACCAAGTCATTACAATCGTCACCGCTGCAAAATTAACCAAAGTAAAATTTCTATAAGCCACCTTCTAGAGTAATTGCAAAAGTATGCATGTTGACTAGTCAGTAAAGTGGTCTAGATAGATAGCAAAATAGATTTGGGAAGTGCCGCTTCAAAGTGACGAGCCCACCTGTCGGGGATAGTTTATTCGAGAAGTCTCAACCCACTTAGAACTCCATACAACACAAATTGTAAGAATAGTAGTGATGGAGAAGGCTTAAAACTCAGGTGGATGTTTTATTATGACCTATAGAATAGCTGTAATTAGGAAACATTCATTGTTGCTCTGATCATTATTAGTATCTACTTCACGTGCAAGTGAGCCTTCCCCATTATTTATGACGAATGAGGGTTTCCTAGACAACCCTCCAGAAATATACTTCTCGTAACAGCATCGAACTGGTAATGCAACTAATAAAACCGACGATTTTGACTTTATTGGTCCCTACTTTTCGAACTTTGGAATGACTAATTCCTCTTAAAAATTTTCAGTGAGTAAGGACCTGTCAAGAACATGTTGAATACTGATTGCGTAATTGGTAGTATTTAACCTCATCTTACTATGAATGAGTCTAAGGAGACAAATGAAAATTAACTTCGTTAATTTCAACAATATAAGTGTAATCTAATTTACAGTCGCCATGGATTTTTCGAAATGGGTAGTATCCAGTGTTAGGTAGTATATATTTTTAAGTTAGCTTGTCTTACTTCCCTATACTTGCTAATGAGCTTAGAATGATATATATATATATATGCGCAGTAAGTGTAGTCGGATGCGTCGACAATTTCACTTATCTTGGAAGTTTAATCAACCTTAATGAGTTGGTGTTTGACGAAATCTCTGCACGGATTCAAAAAGCTCGTTTGGCTTTTGCCAACTTACATTACCTATGGCGAAGGCGAGATATCCGTCTACCAATTAAGGGACGAGTATACTGCGTGGCAGTTCGTTCTGTTCTACTTCACGGCTGCGAAGTGTAGAGGATACTCGTAAGTTACTATTAATTGATCACAGATGTCTTAGAAATATTGCTGGGATCATCAGGTAAGTAATAGTGAGGTTAGACACAGGGTACAATGGGATGATGGTAAATCAGTTAATGAGATTGTGAATCTTCATCGACCGAGATGGTTGGGCCACGTATTACGTATGCCTTAACACCGATTACCTCGACGCGCAATGCTGACTAGTTTCGGAGATGAATGGTAGGAAGTTAGGGGCGGCCAAACCAAAACGTGGCATCAGTGCTTGAAGTCACTAACTCCTGGTCTGAGCCATGTTGGTAGATGCAGACTACTTGGTTGGGGTTCGTGCGACTATCGTAATCAACGGTTGAAGATTCTTGGTGACATGGCTCAGAATCGATCACAATGGCGTAGGTGTATACACTCTTTGCCTTCCGTGAAACCGGGAGATAAAGATTACTTTACACCTTTCTATGAACTGATTCTTCACTGTATCATATTTCTAGATGTCATCTTTTTTATATATACTACTACCATTGAAGTAACTGCTTCTATGAATTCGGTATTCATCTTGTTGTGCTAATGAGGCACGGCAACTTGCACCGATGCATATATGTGCCTGGTCCTAAGTTGTAGACGACTGACTGATATATACGTACAAAAAACAAGAGAAACTAGGACAAAGCCAAAAGCTCTATTTTATTCTAAATCAATGTACCTAGGAATAACCAGCTGTCTTGAATTCGTTAACAATCTAACATATGAGAAAAGTTGATATTGGTTGTTTAAATATGAAATTAGTAGTGCATAGATCCTGTGAATTAAATCATTTACAAACCAAATGAACGAAATGATACTTCATCGATACACATAATCTGCTTTTAGGTTTTCTGAGATTTCGACTTCCCATCTATCACCATTTTGCAGCAATTTTTCTTTATTATACAGTAATTCTTCATGTGTTTCAGTAGAATATTCGAAGTTCGGTCCCTGAAATTCAGAAGAGAAAACAAACTAGAAAATTAGTTATCTTAGTTGGAAATTAATCGAAAGTAACAACGCCATCCATAGACCACAAAAGGGTTTTGGAAGTGGGAGGTTAGAAAAATTAAGCTTCCAACTCATTTTAAAAGGTAGTGACTTCTCTCGTGACATCGATTTTCTTCGAGACACCGAAGAGCCTCTATGACTAAGCTATAGTCTGGTGGTTTATACAACTTATTTATCTATCTACCAGAGAAGTGTGCTTAGAACTGTTCCATCTTTAACACACGAACAGTTGTTAAGATTACAGTTAAATTGACATAACCTGTCAAAAAATCATATCCTTCTAGTAAAAATCCATTAATTTTACAGAGGAAGTTAGACTGAACAGAGTAATAGCTTTCACAGTAACGCATTAGTCTAATTTGCTACATTTGATAAAATAAATGCAAGAGTATAAAACACCTAAACTCGTGTTTTAGACTTGCAATTCCTGAAATCTAAAACTACTCATTTTTGACACCCCATCGAGCTTAAAGAGGAATTGTATTTTTTAAAATCATATCTTTTAATATTAAAACTACTGTTTTAGACTTCACAATGCAGTTATGCTGATGTAATGATGAAATTAAAATGTGCAAATGAACCATAAGATTTATAACTACTGAGGCTTGTCTAGTTACTTTTTCTTGTTAGACTTTTCTACCTAATGATTTAAACTAACCGACCAACTTTAAAGTAACAAGACAAAACGATCTGTGGAATGAAGATACTGACGAACCAAATCTCGAATTCCTGCTGATGCATTTAAAGTGGGTGAAAACTTATGAGTAAGGATTTTTAACTAAAACAAAACAAAACTCAACCTTGTTTTTATATAGGCCTAAATGAAGTATTCCTTGTTTGAGAACTTATAAATGTAAGCGGTCTGAGCAAGTAACAAGACAAAAAGCGTTGTGATGGGTGCTAGGAAAGATGTGATTCTGATATATTATTTATTTATTTATTTAAATACATAAACACTGGTACAAGGAGGTACCAAATATTGGTGTGCCACACAGACCATTCGATTTGTGAAGACCGGAATACTGCCCGGGCGTCCAAACAGAAGCATGTGGTTTTCTTAGGGATTCATATTTCGAGCCTTTGACCTACAGGTCTAATCCACAAGGCAATGGCACAACGTTAGAAGGTGCAGTTCCATTGTAACCGGTGACCAATAATTGACTCATAAGCCATTTGTTCCCTCAGGATCCTGTAGCCTATGTGCACCATTGGTTTGGAGTCAGGGTTACTGCGAGAAGGTATTGACTGGATACATTTAGCCATATGAGAGCACTTCGAGAGAGAGGTGACTCTTCCCATCCCATGGCAATGTAATTCTGATAATCAGAGTGGAATGTAAGGGATTAACATTTTCCTTAAACAGATGATTAGCTGGGTGTTTGTGAACTCGATAGGTATACGAACGGCTTTACATATAACGCGAACAACCTTATTTTTAACATACAAAATCATATTATGCTTAATTATCATGTGATTGATATAAATGTGCTATTTTGCTAGTAATTAGGATGAACCACATACGTTTTTCATAGAACTGTCCGACTTCATTTTCAACGTTTAGTAACTATTTGAACTGAAAAGTGTGTAAAAGCTGACTTTTATTGATCTTACATATAGCTCCTAAGATCTGAAGACTCAAAGGTTAAATATACATTTGAAATCTTTCGAAAGATGTCGTTTAACTGTTAACACACACCCAAACCATATAAAATTTACTTGCCGATCAGATACCAGTGTTAAAATGAGAGAAACGTTAGGCGATCAGTTTTAGAGATAAGCGATAGTCTGGATGGTGATTTATCCACTTATGATCCTATTTGTTACATCTTTATTTCACATTCGTTTGGCAGGTGACTAAAGTGCTATTGTCAGTTTCACATTCAACTTAGATACCAAGTGAACCGCATCCATCTGTCATATCCTTGATCTCAAAAATAAAATTGTCAAGATATCAGGTATTTGAAACTCGCTAAACCTTAAAGTGATCATAAGTAAGTGGATAATAGTTTAAACACATTCGCTTTCACTGATTATCTCTGCCAAAAAAACACCGATTAGATAGGAACCTGATGTCTGCCCTTAAAATTACCTAGTCTTCTGCTTTAATCTAACAAAGAATCTCCGAGTACATAAAGTTTTTCCCAAACACATTGAATAAGCTGATATCTTGACAATTTTATTTTTGAGATCAAGGATATGACAGATGGATGCGGTTCACTTGGTATCTAAGTTGAATGTGAAACTGACAATAGCACTTTAGTCACCTGCCAAACGAATGTGAAATAAAGATGTAACAAATAGGATCATAAGTGGATAATTCACGAAGTCAGAAAAGGTGAAAATGAATGTGTGATGTAATCTGTACGAGTCTAGTGGCCGATTCGCAGGGTCAAAAGTTCTATTAAACTAGCCATACGTTGTTTTGTGTGTAAATTTCCTAATGCTTTAAAATTACCAAAGGGTAGGGTGGAAATTCCATCATTCCGAGTAATACACTAGTAAGCGTTCATATGCCGCCTGAGACGTTATAGATATAGCTCTTGAAAGGTCTACATCATGTTGTTAAACTCAAAATTTGGATATGAACACGACGCTTTGAAAATACCAGGGCTTACTAAACGAACAGTAAAATTCAGCAAAAGTTTTGCTAGGTCAGCCACTGAATAAACACATTTCCCTCATTATGAAAGTCAACTCACAAGGGAGATTCCACAAGTCAACTAATAGTCCTTCACTTAAAACCTTCACAAAGTATTACCAATTATTTCCTAGTAGATTTGGATTTTGCTGTTGTGAAATGAACAGTAATAGTATCAACTGAAAGTTACGTTAATGAAAGCTCGGTATGCAGCCTAGAAAATTAGCCAAATGATCTTTATTACTACGAGTATAGTAAGCACTTTAAAAGAACAAATTGGTCACCTCTACGATGGCGTCTACTGGACACGCTTCCTGGCAAAATCCGCAGTAGATGCACTTGGTCATATCAATATCATATCTAGTTGTCCTTCTACTCCCATCAGCTCTTGGCTCAGCCTCAATAGTGATTGCTTGAGCTGGACATATAGCTTCGCAAAGTTTGCAAGCGATACACCGTTCTTCACCACTAGGGTACCTACGTAAAGCATGCTCACCACGAAATCTTGGACTGAGAGGACCCTTCTCGAAAGGGTAGTTTAAAGTTGCAGGCTCCTTAAACACCATACCAAGGGTTAACCGTAGACCTGTGATAATCAATACCGTTTATCAGTAAATTTAGTACCTCTCAATATATCTGCTACTATAAGCCATCTCGTCACATTCTCAAAACCACTTTTAATAGTATCCTCTTTATGAGGATCAACAACTAGTTTATATTTTGAATTGTAGTGTCCCAAATGCAGCTGTGCAGCTGAAACCTCAACTAGGGGAGAAAGATTGAAAACACATCTCCGGATAAACAAGGTCATTAGTTCTCCACAAATAACCGCCTAAATGTCAAATATCCAGTTGGAGTCCAATATCCAATACCTTTGTCATGTGGTTGTATAAACCCATTGATTGTTTTGCACTTGCTTCTTATGATCTCGGTACTGTTCCAGTAGGTGAGGACGCAACCAATTGACTGCACTAACCCTTACCGGTGTTGTAGTTATTTGTGGATTTGTATATCTTGTAGTTGAGTGCGTTTGTTTCATGGCAATAGGGTTTCTGGATACCAGCAGTCAACACATTACCAGTAAGAAGGTTGTTTGATTTTAATGTGAAAATAATAAAGTGACAATTCGATTGCCAGAAGAAGTTAACTGTTACAACAATAATAAATAAGTTGATTGGTTGATGTGTAAGAAGATGGGACTGAAAGAATAAGAGGGGAAACTGAGATGATACGAAGTAGTTGCTGGTATGCGTTAGTGATAGCCGTGGTAATTTATGAGACATAAATCAGAAAGCTAGTCCAAAATGGATTTGGTAATCCATGAGTAAGTGTTTGTCAGGTCTTCTCGTGAAGCTGTCCACTGAGGGGGTTGAATTCACTTCGGCCGGAAAAGCATTTTAAATGGCTGCATCCCGTAATGCGGAAAGTAAATGTATGCACGTTTTTTGGCTCTTTCACGTAAGATCTTTGGAGGGTTGCCTTGAGGAGCGTGGTGATGATATTCTGGCAATATCCTCGTATTGAGTAGGCTAGGTGAAACTAATTCCTACTGTTGAGATCTTCTTACTCGCCTGCACTATTTTCTTTGCTACGAACCGCCATGTTCACCAGGTGTTCCAGTGTCAGGATAAAAGTGGGTCCGTGAAACCCATCTTCGCAACTTTCATTATGGGAAGTACATGAGGTGTTGTTGAAGGCTTTTGTGAAGTCGCGAAATGTTACATGAACTGGTACCTTATGGATCCATCAGGTTGTCAAGCTTTCCCACGCTATGAGCGAATTGGATGCCCACGACCTGTCCTTCCTGAACACACGTTGGGCTTGGTGGAGGATGCTTTTTACCCATGTATTCCCACATTTGTTCACTAGCTAGTCCTTCCATCACCTCTGACAGTGAAGTTAGTCTGCGACAGACTAGGTGTTTTCTATCGCTCGTTTTGACGATTGGAGGAAGAGTGACCTGTTTACTTTCGCTTGGCAGTTGATGAGAATCTAATAAGTGCCTGAATGGGTTGTGTACCTGTGCACTGTTGACTTTTGAGCACTGTTTCAGGACTATAGGTGGGATTTTGTCACATGCTGTTGACCCCTCGGGGCACAGGGATTTGATTCTTTTTAACACTAACCCGGAAGTCGGCTGGGTATCTTCAGGACCCTTAACTAGCACTAGGGTAGAGAGGTGTGTCACACTTTCAGGATCCTGATTTAGTCGGTCTGCCATTTTTAATTAGTGAAATTCTTACTTTTTGGCACTTTTGGAGTACACATACCCTGGTTTTCAAGCTATCTCCTGGTGATGAATGTGTGGAGATACTTGGAATTAACTTGCACTTAGACTGATAGCTTGACCTGAAAACATCTCCCGTTGCTTTTAACTTTGATAGTTCATGTTTCTCAGTGGCAGGTAAGAGAAGCGATCAGATTCTGCCAATGAGATTTTCTAAATGTGCCAGGCTCTCTACTTGAACTGTAGCGAGCGTTCTGTGCTTCGCCTGATCCAAAATCTTCGCTTTCCGGGTGTGCGCTTACTATAAGGTACATAGTGTTGGGTACTGTGCTGAATGATATCCCTCATAGGTCACCTACTGTTAGCCTTCACCACTCTCATGGCCATGGGGCGTGTTGAAGATGCACCCTTTTCATCATATAGTGTGCTCTGGCGTAACTAAGGTAGAAGACATTCTCGTTCCATCGAGGTATCTTGTTTGTGGCCATGTTAAACATGGCCGCACCATAGTCACTAATTCCTCTTGGTGCGTGGACATGGACATCCTCAACCAGAAGCTGATCACTTATCAGTAAATAATCTAAGTTTGAGTGTTTTCTGTTGCTGTCCCATTTCGTGTCGCCACACACATGCTGTCAGTCCTGAACTTCTAATGGCTATGGAAAGCCACTTATGGAACCACTTTGTAGGGGTTGTATCCTCGTAGCTGAGCCTTAGGGATGGAGTGTTATTATTATTATTCACAAACCTCTTATGGGTACATAAGTGTTGTAAAGAAACCATTTCGGGTTTCCTCAACAATGCAATAATACACAAGTTTAAATAATGTTAGCATTATATTTGAAAAAGGGAGTAATAATAATAGAACAATAATAATAACTCAGGTTCTGTGTAATTGAGAAGGATATTGAATTGAGTTTAAAGAAGGAAAGGAAGAAAATAAGGGAATTCAAATAAAGGAGACGTGAAATATGCAAATAGTTTAATAGGAGGGTTAATGAACACAGAACAAGAATAAACGACTATGTATGTGTCGTCAAATTAGTAGCAAAAATAAAACAGAAAATAATTATGAAAAAAATGACTTATTATTGTGATAAGATATGACGCTAGAATAAATGTTTGTGCAGTCATGATCTGGATTGATGCTATGAAAGTCTCATTTAAGTGAAAAGGATAATGAAATATCAATATGTATGAGTCATATATACATAGTGAAGATGAAACGAGTCTGATGAGTTAATTTACGTGTAACACAAGTTATTGTCTTAATTACAAACTTGGTGAACTTAAGAATAATATTTATTTAGATGGAAAAAAAATGAACACCTAGCGAAGGGGTTCAGCCATGATAATAATAATTGTGTAATGAATATCGACCTCTGAAGTAAACTAGCAATTTGAAAAAAATAAGATAAAAAATCCTTTACTGCGCTCGGATAAACACATATAGATTTATGTAATATATATATATATATATATATATATATAGTTGAAGATAAAATGAATCTGAGAAGTTAATTTATTTGTGTGTACCTTGAGGTAATTTGTTTTTAGTTATAGACTTTGGATGTTTAGGAACAATACATGTTTAGAAGGGTAAGAAGAGATGAATAGAATATCTAATGTGTCGAGGTACCAATAACGATATCAGTAACAGTAACAATTATAGATACAAACATGAGCGGACTTCATATATTAAGATGAATAGAAATAGAATAAAATAGACGTGAAAAGTTTCAAAGGGCACATTGTGCTTTTTAATCAATTAGATGGATAACGGACCTTGTTTGTATAAATCATTATTAAACACATTGATATTCAAAAAGTGACAAAATCCACTTTTGGAAAGAAAATCATCAGGGGCACTTTTGAACCGGGTTGTAGTTTCGCTGCAACAGAGGTTCAATGGTAATCTGTTCCATGTAGTTGAGTAGCGAATAACGACAAAATTCTGGCTTACGTTTCTATGGGTTTCTGGAATCGCTAGTTGTTGTAACCTCCAGCTAGTAGTATTTGGACAAACTCCAGCTGAGGCAGCTTTAGTATCTCCTGTATTATCTTTCGTTATTGGGTGTTCGAACCCGTGTGCAGCCGGTATAATCCTCTATTCAAGTACTTTGTACCGCTTAAACTTAAGCAACACCAGCATTTTTCTTTCTCCCCAGTTAATTCGGTACTGTGTGTAACTAAGGCTTTGAAGTGACTGTTAATGTATTCCCCCACCCCACCTTCTGTCTATGTACCCTATCGTATCTGCAAAGTGTCCCGTCTTGCAAGCCCACTTCTGCAGTGGTATCGGTTCCTAAGTACACGACCTTTAAAGCTGAACATAGAATTACTGAGGAGATCCACTTTCAACATGTAACAATGTTAGAGAGATAAGAATGATGAACGCGTGAACATTGATTCATCATTTAGATGACATGACTCAGCCTTGCATGAGTGGTCATTCTTGTGCAACTTATCGCTTTTATTAATATTAAATATGTTGTTCTATCTCCAGCCCAAATGTGTTCTTTGCAAACGCCTAACGCTATATCACGGTACGATACGACATTCAGAATAGGCAATTATGTGACTTCCACGTAAAATTATATAGATTAGATAGTCACATAACAAATAAGCAATTTTGGGATTAAGTCTATTATTAGAGAAGTAGGAACAACAAGATAAACCATAATTTTGCACTTCTTGATCCATGACGTCGGGTGATAGCTGTGTTTCAGTGAGGAATATGATATCCAGGTGTAACATAAAGCATATGTTTCTGATTTTCTCCAGCCTGCTTCTTGGCAGTCTTAGGTTGCTATAGAGGCACTTGATGGTTTGTTTCATCATCTGATGCTGTTCTACAGTAACATCGGTCTTCTGTTTTGTAAGTAGCTTGTCTCTGTTCTCAACCGTGAGTTGTGCCAAGGTGTGTCTTTTGGACTTTCTTGTTGTTGTTTTGCCTATCTGGGTAGGCCTTCACAACATCCGATGTGACTGGAGGTGTCGATGTTCTTAGCTGTACTTTAATAAGGCCCTGCATTTCGACGTCAATTTGACCGCATGATGTTGTCGACGGGCTCACCACTTTTGTTGCCCGAGATATGACTCCAATTAAATCGTATTAATGATTGCTGTCAAAAAAAATATATATATATATCGTCAATCCTCGCATAATATCATCGACTTAAATGGCGATGGTGTTTAACGGAATTAAATAAGTCCAATACGACAACGGGTTTCGATTATGTATATTTCAGGCATTCATTGGTTTCAACAGGCAATCAAGGAGACGAAATAAAGAAGGAAGAGTGAAGCGGATTGGCGAAGCGAGGAGAACTAAGCAACATGACGCGCAGTAGAGGTGGCGTGTGGGACAACTCCATTTAACCAAGCGTTAATCAAAAATAAGCTTCAGATATGTGGTGAGTAGGATATGATGTACACACATACACTCATATCAAAACGGTCAGGGTTGATAAGTAAACAATTATCAAGGTCAAATGTGGCTGAAGAAGAATGGGTAAACTAACCTGTCCAGAAGCTAGAATAAGTTATGTGGGCTTACCATAGTAACCGACACCAAAGTACAAGGCCTGAAGAGCCTTAGCGGAGTCTTGCCGGCT